CATCATACGTGCGATAATTATGTAATTCTATTATATAAGATAATCTGCATGGTCAACTCACGATTTTTAAAGAAAAAGATTGATTGTTCGGGTTTAGGTTTGATTTTAATAATTATGTGGATTCGAATGATTTCATGCAATAAGTGATTTCAGGTATTAAATATCCAAACTGATCCATCATACGTGCGATAATTATGTAATTCTATTATATAAGATAATCTGCATGGTCAACTCACGATTTTTAAAGAAAAAGATTGATTGTTCGGGTTTAGGTTTGATTTTAATAATTATGTGGATTCGAATGATTTCATGCAATAAGTGATTTCAGGTATTAAATATCCAAACTGATCCATCCGACGTACGATAATTATGTAAATCTATTATATAAGATAATCTGCATGGTCAACTCACGATTTTTAAAGAAAAAGATTGATTGTTCGGGTTTAGGTTTGATTTTAATAATTATGTGGATTCGAATGATTTCATGCAATAAGTGATTTCAGGTATTAGATATCCAAACTGATCCATCCGACGTACGATAATTATGTAAATCTATTATATAAGATAATCTGCATGGTCAACTCACGATTTTTAAAGAAAAAGATTGATTGTTCGGGTTTAGGTTTGATTTTAATAATTATGTGGATTCGAATGATTTCATGCAATAAGTGATTTCAGGTATTAGATATCCAAACTGATCCATCCGACGTACGATAATTATGTAAATCTATTATACAAGATAATCTGCATCGTCAACTCACGATTTTTAAAGAAAAAGATTGACCGTTCGAGTTTAGGTTTGATTTTAGTAATTACTTGGATTCGAATGATTTCATGCAATAAGTGATTTCAGGTATTAAATATCCAAACTGATCCATTCGATGTACGATAATTATGTAAATCTATCGTATATATGTAGGACAATTGTTTCCATAATTGTTTAAATTTGATTTAATTAAAATTTATTAGATCAAATACCACCTGACATAGTTAAAGAAGCACCGGCGGCCTTAGCGTGTGGGGGCGGTCCGTTTTACCATTCAATTTAATTGACATTACAAGTCCAAACCATTAATTATTGATTGATACTGTCGAATAAATTAAATATTAAAGTCCACCTCATTAATTGACTCTTAACTTACAACTTACGATGAAGTAGTCGTGTTGCACGGGTAGTCTAGTTTGAGTCGACCATACACGAGCCTGCTTTGGCTCGTCGTGTTTTTATAATCGGTCGAGCTAATTTTATTTTTCTCGCGAGATTTGTATGATTAATAAGAATATATGTTTAGAAAATTGCATCAATATTGACTTGACTTTTTGTTGGACCATTCTTGGTGTGCAGAAAAAAATTTCTTCCAAATTTACAGACCACACACAACACAGGTGGGACCTGCGTTTTTTGGAATATTTTTTTTTAAAATGGGACCCACATCCATGTGACACATCAGGTGAAATTCTGTGAAAATTTTTTCCGTACACATGCATTTTCCCTTTTTTGTTTAGAATAAATGTAGATTTCATTGATGTCCGATTCATGATGTTAAATCATGAGGATCAAGAGACAAGCGATGTACTCTCTATTCATGGAATGAAAAAAGGGTATTGCCAAATGGCAAAAACCATATGGGCACCCCCTGTTCATCCAGGGCCCATGTGTCCCTGTCACTCTAGCAAAATCCATAAATAAATTGGCCCTCGTAAACTTTTTCTAAAGGCATGTTTGATGCGTATTATAATTAGATTTTTGGGCAAAAATTGATAGTTTAAAATTGGAAATTGTCGATCAAAGGGCAAACTCATTTAATTCCGCGACAGGCATCAAGATAAACATTTTGCCACTTCCAATTTTGCCCTTGATATGAAATAGTGAATGCTTGTTTGAACGTTGATATGTTTGGTAATTCGGTCACTTAGATGGGAAGGAAGTTCAAAAAGTCGAAAGTCGCACTATTTCTTATCCAATCAACTTTAAATTATTCTTCATGGCCCACAAAATTGCACCAAAAATCAAAATTTCCTGAAAAAATCTACTTCAAAGTTCAAACAATGGCTAAAAGTCTTTTAGTCACAACCTCTCGAGGCTCACCATTTATATTGTTCTAGGTGCCGGCTTCATGTGTACAAAATAATATACAAACCCTTCCCTTGATGCACGGACCCTGGTCAACTTGAGTATATCCCACGGTTAACTTCCATCCATCACTGAGGGGCCGGGAATGGGTGATCCAGGACATAGTCTGGTGTAAGTTGGGATTCTTGGATATCAAAAAAAAAAAAAAAAAAACAAATATTCTCTTTCTCACATTAGACAACTCAAAAGACAAACAAAAATCCGAGCATCTCGATACTTTAAGCCTCCGTTTGTCTCTTGTTCTTTAAAACTCTTTTATTCTACGTACTTATTTTCAACTATACATTCACAATAAAATATTTTACACGTAAATCCAAAATGTTTCTCTATTTTTTAACCACACATTCACAAAAACATTACTATTCAATTTTTTTTTTTTTTTTTAAAAATGACCACCAAACTGGAACTAAAGTAAGATGGTGTTTGATTGATAGAAGTTTTTGAAATTTGTGGTTGAAAAGTTGTGGGACCCATGAAGATGTAGTTAATATTGATTGTTTGACTTTGACTTGAATTAAAATTTGTCTTAATTAAAATCAAATTTTAATCAGGACCAAACAGAGGCTAAACGTGTAGTTGGAAATATGACTTCCATAATTTTAACAAGACATCAATTATTGGATTTCATTTTGACCCTTCTCGTCGAGTTAGTTAAGTATAATAGTCAAAATAATCAAAATTGTAAGACGTAATGACTATAAAAAAAGTTTGGACCGCTTAGATTTCAGAAGTTTATCGCCCCACGTTGGAAACAAGAGACTTTATTCTATTTACCACTGTGTAAATGTGTCATGAAGTACAAATAATAAAGAAAAATATAATCTTTAAAATGCGCTTTTTCCTTTTTGGAAAACATTAACATCCAATAACTACCCCATTAAACAATTTTTGGTCAACCAAAGTAAGTCACCAACTAACCTGTGTGATCATGCTGCACAAACAGACTTAAAAACATGCTCAAAAATAAGAAAAACATGTTTCGACACATGATTGAATAATTTGAAAAATACAAAAAAAACACAAATAAGTGCATAAAATCAATATGTCTATTAAGTAATGTTATTCATTTTCAGTGGGATTACAAATACAGTTTATGTGACTCTAAATGATAGGTTAAATGAAATGTGAAATTAAATGACTTGCTTAATTTCACCTATCATTTAATATCACATTAACGCCACCTAGACTGTATTTGTAATAACAGTGGAAATGAATAGCATTACTTTTATTTTTGTATCTTTGAACTTTGTTCAATCATGAAAGTGGATTGGGGACCCTCTTAAATAAATGACTTTTAGACTTTGCTCTTTTAAGTTTGAGAACTTCCAATTTCCCCCCATTATTTCAAATTTTTTAGCACTGTACCCCCATCTTGCTTTACAAAATCTCTTTAAATTTTTTTCTTTTTTGTCACGAAATATTATGGTAGAAGGAACAAAAGTTAGAATTTATTCTTTATATTGTTGAGATTTGTTTAATAACGATATTGAGCATGGTTACATGCGACAGCGAACTCTACCATTTTATTCTTCAATGAATTTGATTACATTCATCGAACAATAATTGAAAAGGCCCAGGTACTAGCTAGATTAGTACTCATCAGTATTCTTACAATAAACTCAAAACTCTCGGAACATTCACGACCATTATTGTTAAAACGAATAGAAATTTCATCGACTTTTTAAATCAAGAATTTAGTTGGTCATATAATTCAAAAGGATAAAAACACATCATGCTCCTGTTTGGTTTAGATAAACATCATATTTCAGTAAATTTTGATAAAAATTAATAGAACTTGTGATTGAAAAGTTATGATTCAATGAAATGTGTTGTTGAAATTAATCGTTTTGACTTTACTTTAAATTTTAATAAGCTTTTTTAATTGTACTCGCGTCCATGCTCTAGAAAGATAATTTGATTAAAATTGAAAGAAAAAAAAAAAAAGGGAGCAAATTTCACACCCCATTCAAGTGGGGGGTGGGTGCTTCTAGAACAACCAGCACAGCAAAGAAGAACAACTACGAGACGACTTTTCTTACGTTATTCACACTAACGAAAATGTTTCATTAATTTAGAGTGCTGTAGCAGCTCGTTTGCGACCCGTCTTCTCATATTCCCTCTCTTCTAATTTAGAGCGCTGTGGCCCATTTGGCGACCCTTCTTCTCATATTCCCTCTCTTCCCCATTTCTTGCAGTCCTCGCCCTCCATCTCTTACAGAGTGTTGTGGCCGCCCTTTTGCGACCCTTCTTCTCATATTCTCTCTCTCTTCCCCATTTCTTGCAATCTTCGCCCTCCATCTCTATATTCAATTGCGCAGTATGCCTTTGACCTTTGAATCTTTCTCTCTTATTTTCCAAATTATATTATGGAAAATATGATGATTTTCCAAAGATTTCAAATTACGTCTGCCAACATTAAAGGCCGCCAGGAAATAATCTTTCCCATCCTTTTCTCTTCTTTCAAGAAAATCCTAATTATACCAACCCATTTAATACTAGATTAGCAATATTTGCTTTATTCTTTGTGTTGTTGTATCATCAATACTTATTACTGGGTAGCTTTTCAGTTCAAACAACTCAGTGAAGAACGGGAGGCAATTTATTATTACCCTGAGATTTCTTATATTTTACTGGTCGTTTAGATTCTCAGTACAACTTGTTAGTATTGTGTTGTTGTTTTATTGTGAATTGATTTTTTTTTATTTCAATTTTTGGTGATTTTGGTTAAGATCATTTACTGGATACTGCTTTAATTTCCGAGTTCTGGTGATTTTTGACTGGGATTAGTATCTGGGAAAAGAAAAATTCACATGTATTTTTTGATTTTTGATTGCGAGCTGCTGAAGGGTTCTCGAATCTCTAGATCATGTCCCACCAGCGCTCTCTATTGATTCCTTCACCACGAACCCCCGGTAAAGAAGAACTACCATATACCCCCGTTTCGTTGAAACCAGTTTCTGAGAACCCTAAACCTTTTTCTGGGATGGCTTTAAATTTGAATTCCCAGTTTGAAAATGAAAATTCTCCACTTCCGGATTCTATCCAAAATTCCTCATCCCAGCGAAGTACTTCGTCGATTTATTCGAAGGCCTCTGGTGGGCATTCTGTCAGGGAGGTTAGCTTTGAGCTGGGATCAAAGCCCTCCGTGAGGCACGGGTCAAGGGGTGCTGATTCCGAAAGGTTTAGCTCCTCCTTTAAAGAGGTTAATGATCAGGATGCAAGATTGGTGTATATAAATGATCCCGAGAGAACGAATGAGAAGTTTGAATTTGCCAGGAACTCGATCAGAACTGGGAAATATTCTATCTTGACGTTCTTGCCCCGTAATTTGTTTGAGCAGTTCCATAGAGTTGCCTACATATACTTTCTTGTGATTGCTGTACTCAATCAGCTTCCCCAGTTGGCTGTTTTCGGTCGTGGAGCTTCAATTATGCCGTTAGCATTCGTGCTATTAGTTACAGCTGTTAAGGATGCGTACGAGGACTATAGAAGGAATCGTTCAGACAAGATTGAGAACAACAGATTGGCGTGGGTTTTGGTGAATGATCAGCTCCAACAGAAGAAATGGAAAGATATACGTGTTGGGGAGACCATTAAAGTTTCTGCAAATGAAACTCTTCCATGTGATATGGTGCTGCTGTCTACGAGTGACCCTACTGGGGTTGCTTATATCCAGACGACTAATTTGGATGGAGAATCAAATCTGAAGACTCGGTATGCAAAGCAGGAGACGCAAATGAAAAACCCGGAGAAGGAAAAGATAAGTGGGTTGATCAAGTGTGAGAAACCCAATAGGAACATTTACGGTTTCCAGGCAAACATGGAAATTGATGGAAAGCGTGTTTCCCTTGGACCTTCAAACATTATCCTTCGTGGTTGTGAGCTTAAGAACACTACTTGGGCACTTGGGATTGCCGTTTATGCTGGACGAGAGACAAAAGCGATGCTCAACAACTCTGGAGCTCCATCCAAACGAAGCCGTCTTGAGACAAAGATGAACCAGGAGATTATTTACCTCTCTATATTTCTTGTAGTACTGTGTACAGTAATCTCTGTTTGTCATGGTGTCTGGTTGAGGCAACACAAGGACGATTTGGTTCTGATGCAATTTTACAGGAAAAAGGACTATTCGGAAACTGAAGTTGAGGATTATAATTATTATGGTTGGGGTATGGAGATATTCTTCGTATTCCTCATGTCAGTTATTGTGTTCCAGATCATGATTCCCATATCGTTGTACATATCCATGGAACTTGTTCGTGTTGGTCAGGCTTACTTTATGATCAGAGATAATAGGATGTTGGATGAGGCCTCCAATTCAAGATTTCAATGTAGGGCTTTGAATATAAATGAAGACTTGGGGCAGATAAAATACGTTTTCTCTGATAAAACTGGTACACTGACTGAGAACAAGATGGAATTTCATTGTGCAAGCATAGGAGGTGTAGACTACAGCGGTGGGAAGGCCTTGGCTGAAGATGAACAGATTAGTTACTCGGCTAGAGGTACTACAACTTCTCTCTGTGTGTGTCTGCACTGGTCTATTTTCTTTATATTCTCAGTCCTGCACACGGTTTTCATTCTAAACATATTATTTATATCTGCCTTATTGTCATCAGTTGACAGGCAGGTTTTCAGGCCAAAGATGAAGGTAAAGGTGGATCCGGAGCTTCTCAGTTTATCAAAACAAAAACACACAGATGAAGGCAGACATGTTCATGACTTTTTCATAGCATTGGCAGCTTGCAATACAATTGTGCCTCTGACTGTGGAGACATCTGATCCTGCTCTGAAGTTGATAGATTATCAGGGAGAGTCTCCAGATGAACAGGCATTGGTCTATGCAGCTGCAGCTTATGGTTTTATGCTTATTGAACGAACTTCAGGTCATATACTTATTGACGTTCAAGGGGAAAGGCAAAGGTAACTCAAAGCTTCTTTCTTTGTACTTCTCGAGCTCAATTTTACTTTGCAAGCCTCATAAGTGCAGCTAGTTGTTAACTTTTAATGAGTTATTAGACTGTCAATGATATAGTTAAAATGTTTCTATGAAATTGCTCATACTAGAAAAGTCACAATCATGAAAAGATTGGAGTTGTCACCGTTATAGGTCAATTGTTGCAGTAGAGGATTATGGAGTTTCTAGTTGTTTCTTCCTTTGTCGATGACTTATGGAGCTCATTTGCTAAGTTGTTGTCTAGTTTATTGCATCTGTCAATTTTCCTTTTCCTTCGTCTTTTGTTTATTTTTTCCTTCTGCCCTTGATATTAATGTTGTACCCATAAATGGACACTGCAGGTACAATGTCTTGGGTTTGCACGAGTTTGATAGTGACAGGAAGAGGATGTCAGTCATTCTAGGATGCCCTGACAAAACGTTTAAGGTATTCGTTAAAGGTGCTGATACGACCATGTTTAATGTGATTGATCAGTCCTCGAACTCGAACGTTGTGAAGGCAACTGAAGACCACCTTCACTCCTATTCCTCAAAGGGTTTGAGAACACTTGTTGTTGGAATGCGGGACTTGAGTGCATCTGAATTTGAACAATGGCAATCATCTTATGAGAAAGCAAGCACTGCCTTGATGGGGAGGGTGTCTTTACTCCGTAAGGTTGCTTACAACATAGAAAACTCTCTTAGCATATTAGGTGCATCTGCGATTGAAGATAAATTGCAGCAAGGAGTTCCAGAAGCAATTGAGTCCTTGAGAAATGCTGGTATCAAGGTTTGGGTTTTGACTGGGGACAAGCAAGAAACAGCTATTTCAATTGGCCACTCCTCTAAGCTCTTGACAAGTAAGATGACCCAGATTGTAGTCAACAACAACTCTAAGGAGTCGTGCAAGAAGAGCCTAGAAGATTCTTTGTTAATGTTTAAGAATCTTACTACCGATTCTGACGATACAAGAGGAGGTTCTGGAGCTAGAATGACAGAAATTGCATTAATTATTGATGGTACAAGCCTTGTTCATATTCTTGACACCGAACTTGAAGAACAGGTTAATGATTGGCTACTCTACTTATTCTCTCTATATCTAAGTTACGGTCTATTTTGATACTAAACTCGTCCCCATCGATCAATTTGCAGCTTTTTGAAGTAGCCAGCAAATGCGCTGTGGTATTATGTTGTCGAGTAGCTCCATTGCAAAAGGCTGGAATTGTTGCCCTGATGAAAAACAGAGCTAACGAGATGACCCTTGCTATTGGTGATGGTAAGCATTGTTATCTCTGAACGTTATTGAAAAAATATGTACAAAGAAGGGAATAATAAGCAACCATTTGGTTATAGCGTCAGGCAATTTAAATTTTTTTTTTTTCGAGTTTCAGGTGCAAATGACGTTTCAATGATCCAGATGGCTGATGTTGGTGTTGGCATCAGTGGACAAGAGGGTAGGCAAGCTGTCATGGCATCAGATTTCGCAATGGGTCAATTTAGATTTTTGGTCCCATTATTATTGGTACATGGACATTGGAATTATCAGCGGATGAGTTACATGATATTATACAACTTCTACAGGAGTGCAGTTTTCGTTCTTGTATTATTTTGGTGAGTATGCTTTTAGTCAAAAATACAAATTTAAATTCCTTCTGCCCTCAGTACAATATTAGAAAAAGCAAAAGACAACTTTAGTGGACTGTTGTTTGTGGCATTTTAGGCACTACATCATTCGCCTGGTTTTGTGGCTTTCAAAAGAAAAAAAAATAGTAAGAAAAGGCATCAGTTTCTTGACTACGCTTTGATTGAATTAAAGCTGAGAAAGTCTAAAAATATGCTAATTGATCATATTTTGAAACAGTTGTTCATCCTCTGCTTATAATAAATAGAATTCTTTGCTCACTTTTTTTAGCATTTGACCCTTTTTCATCCTTCTAGTCGACCCTCAAAGGCATTCAAGTGAATGTTACTCATTTTTTTGAAGGATAAACTGAAAAGGTATTTCATTATTCTCATTTTTCTGTTTGTCTGAAACTGAAATGACATTCAGGCAGAGTTAAAAGGTTCAAAAAATATATTGCATCTCTGTATAAAATAAGATGATAAGACTGACACATTAAAAATATTAAATTTGAATTATAAAAATGTAACTGAACTTATGCGTAGATTTGCCATTTAACTTGGACAATTTTTCTTCACAGGTATGCTCTCTTTACAGGTTTCACATTGACAACTGCTATCACTGATTGGAGCAGTATGTTATATTCAATAATCTACACGTCGGTTCCTACTATAGTTGTCGGGATTCTTGATAAGGATTTAAGTAGAACAACTTTGCTGAGGTATCCACAACTTTATGGGACAGGGCAAAGGCAAGAAAGCTACAACACAAATTTATTCTGGGTAACAATTATGGACATGTTCTGGCAAAGCATAGCGACCTTCTTTGCACCTCTGATCGCATATTGGGGAAGCGATATTGATGGTTCGAGCATCGGAGATCTTTGGACAATTGCAGTGGTAATTGTGGTTAATTTACATTTGGCCATGGACGTCTTTCGCTGGTATTGGATAACTCATGCAGCCATCTGGGGATCAATTGTCGCTACTTTCATTTGTGTCATGGTTATTGATGCTCTTCCTTTCCTACCTGGTTACTGGTAAGCTTTCTCTTCCCTGTGTTACATTCTTAAAGTATACATGCATATGGCGTGGGTTCTCGAGACAAACAAATCCTGCAAATTCTGGTTTATATCGGCATTTCCTAATTGTTGTAGTTGGCATAGAAATTCTGTTTTCTTTCTGGCCTATGTTTCAGATTCTAGCTCATTTTTTTCGAACTTGGTTGCTGGGTGGCTACTCTTGGGATTTGTAGAGTGTGCATTACCATCACAATAAATGAGAACATAAATTAATTCGTGTGTTTGTGCAGGGCCTTCTTTCATATTGCTGGGACTAAATTGTTCTGGGCATGCTTGCTTGGCATCACAATAGCGGCACTGGTTCCTCGTTTTGTTGTAAAAATCTTAATTCAGTATTTCAGACCCGACGACATTCAGATTGCAAGAGAGGCAGAGAAAGTCAGAAATTCAAGGGAGCCTCGCTATGCTGAAATTGAGATGAACCCAATTTTCGATCCTTCACGGAGATAACTAGTTTTATTTATCCATTTTTGTATTTTCACTTCATTTGTAAAATGGGTCCCATTCTTTATCTGTCGACAGTAATTTCCTTGGACTCGCCAGGTTGTTTTTGTTTACTACCATGTGAGGATAGAAAGTTGTAAAGGTTCTACTACATAAAGTCAGCAATTGTATATTATTTGTCTCTGTACTGATGATATTATATACCACCACCTTTAATAAATTTTGCCTGCGTGAATTTTGCCTGCGTGAATTTCGTTTGATATTATATTTAGAGTGTTTAATTACAAGCATGAAAATTGTCTAGAATTTATTTGTATAAAATTGGCAATTAAATGTGTTTGATTGATTTGATTTTTAACCTAGAAAATGTTGTACTTTTTTAGTTTTTTATAAAGTTGAGTTTTAGGGAAGTGTGAATTGCCTACAAAATAAAAACCTACTTCCCGTTAAGAAATTATTTTCCTTATTTTTGAGGCAACATAATCACGTGATCAACTTTTAAAAAATATTTTTTTGAAAAAATAATATCAATCGAATATCTCAAAAGTAGGAACTAGGATAAAAAATATATATATTTTTCATGAAAAATAAAGTCAATCAAATACAGGTTATGTTAACTTGCTCTTTGAAAGGAGGTGGCTGAAATTTTAGAAGTCAGCAAAATAAAGGAAATGGGACTTGGTTTAGTCGAAATTTTACGTATGATTATGTACAAACCTTGGTTTACCGTAGTAGGCTCACGCAAGTTTTCTTTTTCAACTAAATTACATATTTTAATTATTATGACGAGTCGAATATGGTCACGGGTCAACTTATTCGAGTCAAATGAATGACTCATACGAGAAAATTATTGCTTGGCTCACGCTCTTGTATCCCCTCGTTAGTGGGGTGAGTTGCTCGCCCGCTTAACATCTCTACTTATGAGTGAAATTAGAGAATTTGTTGTAAAACAAACTTTATGGGGGAAGGTTTATATAATTTTTGAAAAATAGGGGGGTTTGTATGTAATATTGATATACCTTATGGGGGTGTTTACTAAAAAAGAAAAAGGTCATTTTTTAAGAAAAATTGTAGTCACGGTATCAAATCTTTAACATTTTTGCAGATTTTGTCCAAAATTTTCATTTATGCCATCAATGGTACCAAACTTTTAAACAATTCGCACCCGAAGTCCAAATAGAAAATAGCAGCCACGGTACCAAACATTTCACTTTTTTGCAGACTTTGCCCAAACATTTGATTTGTGCCACCCACGTTGTCAATCCTTTAAACAATTCGCACCCGAAGTCCAAATTGACAGAAACTGTTAGTTTGACTAAAAATTAAAAAATTCGACCAATTGTTGACTAATTCTTAAAGGGCAAAATGGTAACCTTTTTTTTTCATATAAAAAAACTAAAATCAAATAATTAAATCAAAAACCAAAAAACCCTATTATCTTCTCCAACCACTCCATGCCATACCACCGCACCTCACCCCCCACCCAACCCAAAACGAAAACTGCCGGCACCACCAAACTCACCTCCACCACCGTCCAAGGGCAACAATCTCTGGATCGAAGCATGAAATTCACAGCAAGGACTTCAAAATCCAGTTTCGCAGCAAAAAACTCCTCTCAAAGAAGAACAAAAGAATTCTAATCCCCCATCCCAATAATAATCTTCCAGAAATCAAAACCAAAATCATCAATTCCAATTTCCATAATTGCAAATCGAAAATTTCCTTCTTCTTCAACAGATTAATAGTTAAACTACACAAACTAAAGCTGCAATAATCAGAATCAAGCTCAACAGTTGAAGAATCGAAA